CTATCTCCATAATTACAATTTACTTTTCTTTTTATACCATGTTGAGATCTAGTTAAATCTTTAGTAATGTTATTAATATCGATACTATCTTTTATATTATTTTCATTGAATGCATATTTATGATTAATTTGTTTTGAATCAATTACTCCTGCGATTTGAGGAAAGTGTTCTATTCTATTCGATTGAAACATTTCTGCTAAATGCTGACGCATTAAATTATGGTTATATATAATTCTGTTTGGTTGAAGATCAAATAAAAGGGATACTGAAAAGCTTATTGCAAAAACCCCGCAATCATTACCATTAGGTTGCAATTGAACTGTTGGAAACTGTACTGGTTGCTTATCAAAAGAATAAAATGGATACAATTTTTCAAGATAAATTTTATGGTGTACATGTAATCGTTTCATATTCAATGAGTCATAAATATAAATCATTTTAGTATCGTAATAACTGCAAACCCAATGACCGTCTAAATTAGTCGCTATATCGCTGCAGCTATGCAGTATTTGAATATGTTTCTTATTTTTATGAACAGGTTCAATTTTATCAGGACATTGAATTTTCCATGGTTCGCGTGATTGATATTCTGAGCAACTTTTCAATAATAAACCGAAATACTCAATATGAATATCTTCTAACCATTCACCTCTAAGAATAATCTGTATATACTGCATGCTTAGAGGTAAAATATTTGCAACAAGATTTGTATATTTGTGTTCGTTCTTGCTCCATTGTCATTTCAGTTATATTATTTTTTGATTTTATTAAATCTACAGACCTTTCTTGTTCAGCTTTCTTTTGTCGACGTTCTCGTTTTTTTCTAGCTAAGGCTTCCCTTTTTTGTATTTCATCCAAACTAAATAATTTTTTTGGATCATTAGGTCTTATAATTTGAGGAAAATGTTCTATTTTTTCTAATTGAAACATGTGTACCAAATGTTGACGCATTAAAGTATGGTCATACATAACTGTATCTGGTCGAAGGCCAAATAAAAGTGATACTGCAAATGCAATTGCAAAAACACCGCAATCATAACCATTAGATTGATTTTGAACTGACGGAAATCGTACCGGTTTCTTATCAAAAGAATAAAATGGATATAACTTGTCAAGATATATCTTATGATGAGCATGCAAGCGTTTTAAATTCAATGAATCGTAAATATAAATATCTTTTGTATCATAATAGCTACAAACCCAATGCCCATTTT